CATAACATTTGTTGTTTAGGAGTTAAAATGATGTATAATGTGCAAGGAAAAACTAAGCAATGTGTCAGATTCCACCTCACTGAAGAAATAAAGAACCTGGACAATTTTCTGTGGATTTCTGGAAAATGAAGATACTGTGGCTGATTTGTTTGTCATGTGTGGACATGTATGGCTTGAAGCTGTAGTGTTGTTGTTTTTTTTTTACACAGAGACACACAAGGACCAACAACCACGCACACTTAACATGCAGGTCTTTGGACGGCGGGATGAAGCCGGAGAACCCGGAGAACCCGGAGAGAACCCACAGACACAGGAGAAGGGTTAGGGTTAGGGTTAGCTCCTAACCCAACCCAGAACCCTCTGGTCCTGGTTCCCCCCGGGACTCCAACCCAGAACCCTCTGGCCCTGGTTCCCCCCGGGACTCCAACCCAGAACCCTCTGGTCCTGGTTCCCCCGGGACTCCAACCCAGAACCCTCTGGCTGAAAGGTCCTGGTTCTGACCACAAAAAACTGATCCGCCCTCAGACGCAAAGCAGATACAGTGCGTGCATATTGGTATTTTTAGTATGATGATTTACATTGTAAATGTAAGAGAAAATAGCCATTTTCCCTCACTGTTGCCACCTTTACAAAGACAAACCTGTATTCCCAAACATGCAAAGTATGAATTCACCCAGATAAACTTTGCATATGAAAATGTATTAAAGAATTTTTGATATAGAACAGTTGACTGCACATCAATAACTCATTCGACTTCCAGCTTCCAGCGGCTCTGCTCAGTAAGTACGCTTCAAGACTTCCAGGGTTGGTATCCGGTGGGTTCTGCAGCAGTAAACCTTTTCTAAGTGGCTGAAAGAGGAAGAAACTCACAGCAGGACAAATCTGAAAGGTAAAAACTGATGTAGTTTTTTCAAATTTAAGGACAGGAGTGAGCTGGGGAGGCGGGGGGGGCGATGGCTTCATGTTGAGTCAGGCTGAGTTTGATTTGTCAGACATTACGATGAAGAATTATGAATTGGTCAAAAAATCCAAATTTGTGATAACCACAAATAAGTAAAGCAGTATGGAGTTTCTTTATTGTGGGTTTACATGTGCA